CTATATCATTATCTTAATATTGCTCTATTGTTGTAATATTATGCAGTTTAGTGTCAATAATTGTATTGGCAATGGGGCCTCCTTCTGCACACATACAAACCAAGCCCTGGCACCTTACTCTTCCAAAGCTCCAACAGTCTAAAGGTCTATGTCATGGTCTTTCATGTGGGAGATCAGGGTTCAAAACCCAACTAATGCAACTTAACAAAAAAATCTATTCCAACTTCATATTGACACTCAATTATCTTAATGAAAAACACCTGCTGATGTAACAGGCTCAATCTGGTTTAGATAAATTCTTTGAACTTGGTCAAAGCTCATTCTGCAAGTCCAATGCTCCTGCATACTTTGTCCTACAGCTGCCATTGTAATTTCTATCTGTAAAGGTCCTGTGACAAATGATTGCTATGCCTTTTGGTACCTSTAAAACTTTATTCCAAATTCATATGAATGGAGTCAATGGGGCCTTGTAATGGTCCAATACTGCCCCCAGCTGTACTCAACTTGGTACTGCACCAAAGATTTTTATATTTAATCTCAATAGTTCAGTGTTTACAATACTAATATGATTGTATTTTGATGTTTTACTATAATATTGTCTTAATACTGCTCTATTGTTGTAATACTATGCATTTTGTGTCAATAATTGTATTGACAATGTGGCCCCTTTCTGCACACATACAAACCAACCCCTGCCACCACCTTCTGCCACAGCTCCATTGGTCTAATGGTCTATGTCATGGACTTTCATGTGGGACATCAGGGTTCAAAACCCAGCTAATGCAATTTTAACACAACATCTCCTCCAACTTCATATTGTCACACAATTACCTTAATTACAAACACCTACTGACATGACAGGCACAAGCTGGTATGGAAAACACATTTGAACTTGGTCAAAGTTCCTTCTGCAAGTCCAATGCTGTAGGCAAAGCCATGCTGCAATGACATGCTATGTGGCAATGCACACTTGTTTTTACATCGTAAAAACCCATGTCTAGTTTAAGTTGGTTTTTAATTTGATATCATCATATTAATATTGTAGTGTTATACAACAGCATTAATAGCCAATTTAATTAAATCGAACCAATTTATGTCATTAGTTACATTTAAAATCTAATTCCATTTCAAACAGAATAACCTATTGTCAACATTATTATGGAGTGTGGTTTATTTTCAACTCAAAATATTTCCTAAATAACGAAATATAAAGTTATTAGTGAAGAAAATCTGTCTGGATAACAGGAGACTAACTGCTCATAAAATATATGACAGGTCTGGACCACTCGAGAATTTTGTTTGTTTCTGAAGAAAATCTTAGAATACGAGAAAATTGGTGAATGCCACAAGTTCTCCTAAATCACTCGTACGCACAACTTAAGAACAAAACTGTTTGTACGAACGGTTCTTACATGAGGCCCATTGCTCTTCTATACAGATCAGCCTTCAGATGTGTTTGTTATAAATCCAACAGGTTGGAGGTCTTACCCTTGAATGCTGCTGACTGAACTTAGGAGTGCCACCTCCAGACAMTGAACGGCCAATTCATCAGGCACAACAAGACCACATGTGAGGTAACTTCTCATCTGATCTGCCAGATCCGTGTGCCCCTGATCGTTCAGTAACATACGCATCACGCCACCAATGGACAGTCGAGCCAAGCCATATTTTTGAGCAAATGTCTTTGCCACTGAAAATGCAAACATAAAACATATAACAATCTCAGCAAGGAAGGATGGCTGTCGGCCGTTTTGTTCCTTACCTGTAGTTTTCCCAGATTTAGGAGGTCCGATGACAGCTATTTTTACAGGGAGTGTAGGCATGGGCTTTGGTTGGCGAAGATACTTTAAGGGGTTGAGCATGAATTTGTTGCGGTTCTCTTCGGATGCAAAAAGGTAAACGTATCGACTGAGGAGGAGGGGATACGTGGTGTCGAGGGGCCACTGAAGAGGCTGAATTATGTCTTTGTTTTCGTACAGCTGCAAATCAATGTTGAACACGTGTAAAGGTATTTACAGTAAGACAGAAACAATTGAACAGTTTTGGCACTACACTACAGAGCAGAAGAGGAATCTATAGGTGCTTCATTAGAGTATCTATCCCTAAATCAAACCTACCTGGATGGGGTCCCGGCAGCCGAAGGCGCTGTGAAGCTTGTAGGTGGAGAACAGCAGCTGCTGAGCGAGGCTGCATGAAATGGGCTCGCATGTTTGGAAGAGGGACTCCCTGTTGGCCTGCAGGGGCTGGATTTTCTGGAGCAGATGATTCTGAATGATCTGGATTTTGCGTGATGCATTGATCACCATTGTGGGTACGTTAWGTTCACTCAGGAGTTCCTGTGACAAAATTAGCATAGTACAGCCAACACAACCAAACATACACACAAAAAAGGACTTTAGGTTGTGCAGCTTGGTGGGGCAGGTGGGGGAAAATGATCTGTTTATACAGAAAGGTTGTTCTTTAAGAGACAGTTCAGATCTTTTGAATAGGTTCCATGAAAAGAYGAGCCATCAGTTTGTCAATCAGGCCAAGAATTAAACTTTATTTTACCAACATGAGGCTATTTGAAGACTTATTGATAACAGGGAAGGAAATAATTGTTTATCTGTTCAATGAACCACATTTCAAAGGATCCAAATCACTACTTTGGAGGACTGATGTCTCTGTACCGTCACAGTTGCAATGTTGTCTTCATCGGTTCCAAACCGCTCTTCTATTTCCATCTCCAGCCGCTCAGTTGCTGCATCTTCAGTCTCCTCAGCTTCCCTCTCTTCATTATCATCTTCTAAGGGAAACTCCTGTCTTAGTATCTCTTCTATCTGGTCTTCCATACTGTCCATGCCTTCCTCTTCATCCCCATCATTGTCTTTCAGATTATACCCGAGCTATTTTGTTAGCAAACAGTGAGTTAGGAGTTCATCAGAGATGCAGGTAGGATAAGGTTACGGTGAGTTTGCTTACCTTCCCTTTGTCTCCTTTCAGCTCTTGCTCTGCGAGGAGTTCTGCTCTTCTTTTGGAAATATTCTCCTCCTATAAAATTAATTAAAAAATGTAGATACTATTATTTTGAGGAAGCTAATGTGCTATAATAAAACAACCATGTTGTCATTTTGTTACCAGATTCTTTCTGCGCAGCTCATGCAGAAGTTTCAGTTGGTGATCGYGCTTATTGCGGAGCTCGCGCCATTTGTCAAGGTACGCTGGCAACAGGCGCTTCTGAACATCAGCGACACCCACTTCCATGACTATGACTACATCAAGGAAAAGCTGTCTCTCCAACAAATACTGGACCTGATCGGGGTCATGAAGAAAACCCTCCAGGATGAACCCTGTGGACCTGCAAATGGGAATATATAWAAGTGGACATGYRATGCTTTTGAATCCTTCTTTTCCACATTTAAATCATTCAGTTTTGGTCTATATAAATTAAACTGCAATGCTGTCTGAATTCCTCCTTACTGTAACTCCACAAGCTCCCCTTTCACCCTTTTTCTGAGGTGTGTCTCAGATCAACTTGTTTTGAGGCTGTCTCTTTAAATGCAAATGAGACGCTTCAAACCCCGCCCCCTTACAGCTTCCAAAGCGGTTCATTCTAGTTTGAGATAGGGGTTTATGACTACATAGCTGCGCAGAAATGTTTTATTTACAAATTAAAATATGTCACCAGAGTCTGACTCGGAGCCAGAGGAGAATGAAGATGTGTAGAATTGTAGTTGGTAAGTTTAAATATTTTTAGGAAGGTCCGTCATAAATACTGTGATGTAGCAATTCAAAAAACGTCAAAGAAAGTAGAGAAAACGGAACGGGTTGAAAAAAATGACCCAAAACGAGTAAAAGGATATCTACGCAGCACCGGGAGAAATGAAATTCAGATTTTCTGCACTACTAGAGACTCTAATACACAGCAAAATGTATTCAATGGCTAAAAAAGTAGATTTTGCATGATATGCTCCCTTACAGTCACAAGTTAACACCTCTGTCAAAAAGATTGGCAGTTTTCTTTAAAGGGGCAATATCATGTAAAATCAAACATTTTTTTTGAGTTTTATATCATGTTATAATGTTATACTCTCATAAAAACGTGCCCAAAGTCTTGCTTTGACTCATTCATGCATGTTTGAGAAATCCTTCAGTGTTTTTAGGAAGCCATGCTGAGGCCCAGTGGCTTTCAAACCCCAAAACACATTACGGCAAAGGCTGGTTCACCCCAAAGATCCGGTGCCCCGGCACAAAC